TTACAACTTCAGTACATGACTGAAAGGTCAATATAATAAAATAATAAATATTTATAAATGTATAATGTTATGAGATTTTAAGCTATTTGTCTAAATATTTATGTTTTTTGTGTTATAATTTTGTAGTGATTCTAGAATGAAAAAGGCAAAATTTATATCTATTTCCTAATTTTTTTATGGTGGTTACGAGATTGGTCAAATTGACCGAACCCGTACAGAGATTCATTATTGAAAATAATGGATAAAATATAAAGTTTTTTCTTAAGAAACTATCTGGACATTATAAAGATTTCGCATGTGAAATTTGAAACTTTTCTTATGCACAAAAGTATATTCAATTTTAAAATTAAAATTACTTTGCATGTTGGATAGGCAACATGCGAAAAGAAAAAAAAAAGGCATGAGAAAAACATTGCTTTACAAACCTCAAACTTAATAATAAAAAAAAAATTTATATTTTGCATATGAAACCATCGTAATGTTTACTGATAATCTGCCAAATTTTGTTAACATATGCTTACTAACTTAAAAGTTATAGCATGAAAACTATAACAAACACAAAATGGTTACGAGGTCGGTTCCATGGGCCAAGCCTGTACTGAAAGAGTTAATTATTTTAAACATATCCAGACACACTTTTGACTGGTACAATACTGCAATCGTGGTGTCTTTGAAATGGCAAAGTGAAAAATGCGCTGATGCCAATCCATATAAAAAAAAAAATTCTGACTGGCTGGTAAGTTACTTCATGCTATGTTTTCAGAAATAAACAATATCAGCATGCCAAATTTTAGAAATTAATGTTACTATTTCACCATGAAAAAGCATTAAATCACATGTATCAATGTAAGAAGAAAGTATAAATGAAACAGACACTCAATATTAAGACACTAGCCTTAGTGGATTAGTGTATCATGTCACCAAGTTGTCTAAATGCCTTACTTGCCCCAGACCATCAGGCTAACATTAATGTCAAGCCTTCGAATGTGTGTCAAACCATGAAAGCTTCATGTAACAGGTTAACTGTACCCCTATCAATGTAGTTTTCAAAAACTTGAATTATTTCTGTACTCAATTAAAATGTTTTTCTAATAGTAGATCTTACAGATTAAAATATAAAAAGTACAAAAAAAATTCTAATGATAATCAAACAATACAATTCTCAGACATAATAATTTTTTTGAAGTTCATAATGAGAACCTGTCTACAAAAAGTCTAAATATCACAAAATAAGTGAGCATAATATATTTTCATACTTTTTTTTTACATAAAATATACCCCTAAATATTCTATAGGAAAAGAAAGATATACACATTAATAAACTTAAGCTATAAAATTTCATAAGAAATACTTACTTTGAAGCCTCTCATCATCAAAGGTATGACAACATCCCTTTCTTTTTCTGATAGTTTGGTACTGACACCCAACAGCATAAGCATATTATCACACTCTGTAACTCCCAAAGCATACAGATCACTGAGAACATTGGCACAGGCTATCTTGCCCTACAACAAATGCACAAGTTAAAGTCATTAGTTTTAACACTGATGGATGATCTGTTACACAAATATGATCTCCCAACAATTACTAAGTAAATCCTCTGAAGACATATGCAATAGTAAAAAGGTTACATTGAACTTGTATTCACTTCCTTCACTACGAGTTATTTTCATTGGGCAAGAAAATAGTAAGTAGAATAAACTAATTTCAAATCAATTACCATTTTTTCTCTTTATATACAGTTGCATTTCCTTTGAATAACAAGTCATACTAAACGTTTCTTCTACTAATTCATGTTTGTCCGAAAACCCATTTTGGTGGATGATGGTGACACATTCACATGCACATACAAGAGATCTGATCCAAACATTCATAATGTAAGATAACAGTTTTAATAGCAGAGTTATTCGTGCAAATGCTTAACATTTTATCAATCTTCTATGTTTACCTAATTTTTTAACCACTTGAGTTGGATAAGAAATGCAGAGTTTAATTACTTTTGATTGAAAGAAAACAGAATGTTGTCATGATATAAAAGACTGTTTGGTTTACATATTAGTGATTAATTTATATTTGTGAGTGAATATTTTATTATTTTTAAGTTTTGTTATAATAAGAGTTAAAAGCAGACGATTGTAGAAGGTTTTGTTAATAACTAATTGGTGTCGAGAGTATAGAATTTTAATTGGGTGAAATTGCCATTGGACTTCAGGTTACAGAAAATCACTTGGTTCACTTGCCCCAGATGGGTAAAAAATTGGCTAAGGATAAGTGGATTTGAACAGATGGTTATAAAGGGAAGGAGCTAAAGTTCAAAATGGTGTTGACAACAATAGACAGATAATAGCAAAAGAAAATATAGTTGTGTGAAGTTAAGTGCCGCAAACTTTATAGGCCTAACATTTAATATATTAGAGTGAAACAAACAGTATAAAAAAAGAAGGATAATTTTATTCTGTCAAAGCATGGTTCTAAAGTAATTGAATCAGCCTGGGTACACTTTGACAAATGGAACAGAGAATCTTCAGAAGAAAGAAGACCAAACGAATTATGATAACTTGTGCCACAACTGTAAGTGAATCACACACAGAATACTAGTACGATAGTAATATAGAGAAGATAGTTCGCTAAGAAGTCACAGACACCTAGAAGAATCCTAAGCCCGACAACAACATAGTATATATTTATACTATTTAAGAAATATAAGTAAAAGCCATTTATTTTTAATAATTGGTAAAAATAAGGAGCTAAAGTTCAAAATGGTGTTGACAACTTGCCAATCATTCATAACAGAAATTTCAACATTTAGACATTTTTATGGAATGGTCCGACAAAGCCACACTTGAAGGTTGAATGCCACATGTTAATAATTCTTCCCAATTCTTTTGTATTAAATAAGTTTGTAAAAATTGCTTCATATTCCTGAATTTAATTGGGACAAGCAAAATTATGAAGGGTACGGTACTTCCATAATTTCATTTGTCCAAAAGGACAATTAGTCTAAAAATATTTTTTTAAGCCTGAAGTTACTCTCCCCCAACAGTAAGTCTGTGTGGTTCCCCTGATTTTTTTGTCATTTCTTTAGCAGTGCTGCTGCACTGAATGTAAGATCTTATGGCAGACATTTCTGGTTATATACTTCTGGATACCTATAGGAAGTCCTGGGGGCTTTGGGACTCGGATCCCTATTATTTTGACCATTAGGTATGCCATGTGTGGTGCGACATTGATTTCTCTCAAAAACTGGATTTAGATAAGTAGGAAAACCTAGAGAGAATTATTCAAATTAATACAATTTGAATGCAAAATGCAACGAGAAATCAAAACTGCAAGACAAGTAATGCAGTGGGTCCAAAATGTATGACATCTCAATGTGGGTAATCAGGTATGCTTTATTCATAGCTCAATGAGACCTGCAAACATGATGAAGTAATTTTATTGCTAAAAAGTATCTACTTTATATAAGTCCATGACAGGCTAAGAGACACTCTTTGACTTTAAACAAACTCTAGTCAAATACTGAAAAAAAAAATGTCAATGAAATACTGACAGGTCTCTTCTATTTTTCATTTTAAGCATGTCGAAGTGGCAATAAAACTTTCATCAAAAATTATTAGGGGTCAAGTGACCAAGAAGAAAAGAAGGATGGAAATTTCAAGTCCTATTCTGAAGGAAGGTTCAAGGCATGTTACATCCATCCCATGTGTCTACAGAAAATATCCAACAGAGCAGGTAATTACAGATGAAACCATGGAAGTCTGTATAAAATACAACTAGATATCTAAAGCATTTAACTTCTAATCAAAAACTACACCACGTATAATAGTGTACTACCTCAAAGTAGTGTCAAAAAGCAAAGTACATAGAAAGAATAACAAAGAATCAACGTTCATTGAAATCTAATGATATACTGATTCCTGAAAGGGTAAGAAATATCATAACTAGAAAATCTTCAAAAAAAAAGAAAAGTCTTAAATAGACTGCCTTTGAAAATCAAGATTTGGAAACCAAACAGAGGAACAGTAATAGTTTCATAACAGTAAAGCAAAGACAGCCATGTTCAAGAAAAGATTCAAAAATTTTACTCTCACAAAAAGCAAGACACCATATCGAACATCAATGTGAATGTTGAACTGGAGAATTCTTCAAAATTATTTGAATCAAATTGAAGTAACTTGAAACAAAGTATTAATTAACCACAAAACAAGTTTGTATTATTAAAATGGTAATATTTTGTTAATTTAACACTTAGATATTACCAGGTGTGTGCGTGTGTGTGTAGTTAAACAAAATGTATAAGTAGGACTATATATGTCAAAAAGTTTTCAGGAAAGAAAGCTATGCAGTTAAGGTAGAACACAGATATAAGGAGTAGAATCAAAATCAATCACAACTTGAACGTTGATCATAGAGAAACAAAGAGCAAAAAATACTGGTGGTGACATCAAGAAGGTATGAACAAAAACACTGTTGAGGAATAATTAAATTACTAGCCATATGATAAACTTGAAATAAACTTCAACATAGTTATTGGTGTCTTTTGATTGGTGAGATGAAAGCAGGATAGACATTTTTTATACTAAATGCACCAAAATGGTATTTTTATTATTATTAAAATGCAATTAGTTTTTGGCTAGGATGTAGTCATTCCCTTTACAAATGTTGCCACTGGTTAATAGTTTTGAGCTGGCTTGAATGGGTAACGAAGAAAACTTTATAACACTGTAACAAATGTACAACAATTGCACTAAGTTTTATCATGATCAGATATAGGTAGCTTATAAACTACTAGTACCTGATGGTGACAAAACCTTATCAAACCATTGTACATTTGTTACTGTGTTAAACTTGTAATAAAATGTTCTTCATTACACATTCAACTGTTTCTTGACTCAATTAGCCTCAAAATGGGTTCCATGTCATCAAATTGTCACCAATTGTTTTAAATAATTCCATTAGAAATTGACAGAGTCAGAAAAATATTATTAATCAGATTATGGAACAATTCATTACAATTATTTCAAAATTACTTTCAATCTATGTGAACACCAAATCACATTTTTGAATACAAATGTTTTACAGCTTTCTTAAACAACAACAACAAAGATTCCAACATTACACAGAAAGATATTATGGGAAAATTGAAACATTATAAGTGCATACTTTTTAAAAGATTTTTTTCTGCATGCAGACAGAATGTCACAGATTTGGGTAACACCATAACTACAATATACCTGATCATTCACAAAGAAGATTTTATTTGTTTAAGAGTTCTGTAATGGAATGAAACTTTTCTTCTTTTGTTAATTTAGTTAATATATATATATATTCTTTCAATATGTTTGTTTTCTCTTTTCCCATGTTTTCTATTCTTGTGATTTTTGTCTTTCTAGTCTTTTCTCCTGTATACTTTGGTATGTTTTATTACCATCTATGTTTCCATTTCCAAGTTAATAAAAATTCTAATATAATATGGTCTTTGGTTATATTTTTTCTTATTATGTTTCAGTTTATGGTGGTGTATATGTAGTTATTATGGCATTTATTTAGCACTTGATTTAATTTGTATGTTAATTTCTCTATAAATATAATATTCTTCTAGATGATGCACAAAGTGTTTTGGTAGTTTTCTATTTAACACTGTGTATTTTCTGTTAAATCTGCCTATGGTTCTAGATTTATATAATTTCTTTACTACGATTCTCTGTGTAACTGTTCTTTAATTCGCGAAATGCTTTCAATTAATTCCAAGTTAAATTTTTTAATGATGTTTATTAATGTTTCTGAAGTTCTACCTTTTACCTGTGTTAAAACCATTTCATCTGTTTCTCTACAAATTACTCCTAAAGCCCATACTCCTACTATTCTTCCTATTACATTTTCTTTTTTTAGAATTTTGATTTCAAATGCGTAATTAAAATATTTGTTTATTTTCTGCTTGTATAATGTTTTCACAAATTTCTTACGCAATTGTAATAGTCTGGTATTATTTCTTACAGTGTTTGTGGTGTCTGTATCATTGTCCATTTTTATTTCTACTTTTGTTTCCTCATACATGCATTTCATACTATATGTGTATACAAGTGTTTTTATCTCAATATTTTTGATTTTCAAACCATATAGTTTAGTTAGGACTATTTTGTTTTGTTTTTCTCTACAAGATCATTGACTGTATCCATATCTGTAACTTAACTTTTTTTTCTTTTAGATTTATTTTAAGTTTTCTATTTTTGTTAGTGTTGCTTTACATGTTAGGTATTTCTGTATCTTGAGTAGTAAATTTACTTCTTGACAAAATTCTATTGCTGTGTTTCATCATTTAAAAATTGAGATAGTTTTAATAGGCTTACATTTTTTGCTAACATAGTGTTACGTCTCCGTTTGTTAATTAACTTTCTGTAACTTCGT